TGCGGGGGTGACACATAAATTGTCATTTGAGAGAGTAGTCCCATTGACGCACCCACAATTGGAGTCACAATTTTCAGTGCCATATTTACACAACCCACTATAATCTTTTACAGTCCAAGCGTTGTTGTAATAACACAGTTGATGGCAATCATCGCCACCATAACCATCAATGCACATACATCTTGCTTCATTTGTGTTACATGCACCTTTGTGAGTATCTTGGTTACAGTTGTTAGGGCAGATCACTTGGTATTGAACGTCGAGATCAGAGAAAAAGTTTGGTGTAATAAGTGTGAAGTACCTTGTTTTGTTGCTACCACTCAATTTTACTTCGATACCTTGGCGGTCCGTCTCAGTTAGGACACCATTTCTTGCTCCATTCCAAAGACCAATACATTCAGTGGAGACTTTCCCACCATTATTGATAACGCCAAATTCTTCTAGAAAATTCATTCTATTTGACTTTTTGGTGCTGATAAGAAGCGAGTAATTACCATTGAAGTTGATAGTGAAGACAACCATCTTCAGTAAGAACGTTGGCATACAAACTGGGAAATGGAAGACCCCAAAGTTTTCCATTGGCATTTGGAGCTCGCGGTATGTCCCCAAGTGTTGTGACAAATAGTCGATATCATCTTGTTTGATTTCATATGAGATATCCCATATCTTATCAGCAGACTTCTCAACGGTTAAGTTTAAATGAGTTGTACGTTCCTCAGACATTGAAACAAAGAAGAAGTAATCAAAATTGACAATAACTTTGTTCGTAATTGAATCTCTTGGATTAATTACAGGGCCTTTCATTGAACATGTTAATTTCGAAACAGGTGAATTGGTATGGGCAGTGCATATTCCGTATTTACTGCCTTTTTGTGAATGACTGATGTCTATAGACACGTCCACTCCAATGTCCTTGTCCATTTTGATCCAAATATATGGGTCTGTGATAGTTGACATATCCAGTCGAAACCATTTTCCAATTCGGTATCTTGGATTGTATGTACAAAAACTATAATCAACATCACTTGATTCATCAAATGTGAATGAAACTGGTGTGCTCAAGAAAATTTCCTCAATTTTATCATCGGGTGGGAGCCAATTGTTTTTGTCAATAACATTATTCTTTGGGACACACTCGTCGTTACGGGGTAAATAAATGGTTTCGTCCGTGTAAATAGTGTAGACACCTTTGCACGAAAGACATGAATTGTCGTCATCATAAGAAGACGAACACTTTGAACTACATGCGTAGTCTGCAATGCACCCTGATGAGCAACCTTTGGAACAATTGAACGCAACAACAGACGTGGCTAAGAGTAAAAAGATCATTGAATGATTTAATTTGAGAGAGTTTTAATAGTCGAATCGTTTGTTTTTAAAAAAGGCATTTTCAATAATTAGTGAATTATGTGGATGTATTCGCTTTTTCAAAATTTTTCATCGAAACAATCACCAAATGCGGAAATATTAATTTACAATGGTATTCGAAAATAAACTGATAAATTAAATCACCAAGTGTGTTTCTTATTGGTATTTACTTGTTCGAAGTACCAATTAAAACATTTTTAAAATAAAATTGTTGAAAATAAACATTTTTTCAAGTAAGTGATGTGAAATTTGTTTTGATATGTTTTGGGAAGATAATTACTTTTGCTATTGTTATTGTAATGTAAAACAAATATTGAATGATATTAACAACCAATATTCATATATATGTAATTCCATCATCCCAAAACCACTTGTTTAAAATGACTTTTATTATTCTTCAAATTTCAATTGACTACTCCTATTTGAAATAAAAACACAGTCTTTTATTTTGCAACAAATCGGGAAAAATGGTACTAAAAAACAATAATCATATTAATAATAATTCAAAAAAATGGTGTTTTTTCATTTTGGTAAACATGGTTTGTTATTGAGAAATCATCCCGTTGTTTTTCTTTAAACAAGTGTTTTTTATCAATAACAAAGGCTAAATAATTTTTTACTAAATTGAAGTGATTATTGTTCCAATTTGCCAGTTCGTTTTTCTCAAAAACTTTAACGAAAAGAAATTACCCATTGTTCACTTTTAAATAATTAAAACGGTAAAAACCTTTAAATACGGTATTATATGACGTAATATATCAATTGAACAAATTATCAGCATTATTCGCCATTATTACCCATTAAAAACAGAGATTATTTTTTTCGAAAATCAAAGTTTAAAAATGAGCAATTCACCAATAATAGACCAAATCTTATAATAATTAATAATAAGTAATTAAGTGTATTAATAGTTTCGTATAAAACAATACTTTGTAAATCACGTAAATATCCCACAAAATTAGATAAAATTTTATTGTTTATAATAAACTTATTCAAATGAGTTGAGATTGTCAGTCTATAATTACAATGTAATTTCCTTAATGATAAAAATCACCTTTTTTTTGAAAAAATTTCGATATATGAAACATATCTAGAAATAATAGTTTGAAAATAATTAAAATATCGATTGTATCTTCGTTTATCTTCAATTTTTAAAACCACAATTTGGAGTTTAACGTCACTTATCTTGCTATGAATAATGTCGACTTCATTTTAACGAAAAAACAATAAATAAGAAAAGCGACATGTAGTGGCTTTCACTCCCAAATTTGAATGTGTGGTTTACTTTTTTTGATGTGTTAATTTAAATAATTATTTTGGGTAACCCCCTCATTTTTAATTCCAAATTGCGAATAAAAATCAATTTGTGAATTTTACATTATCTTTTTACATTTCGATTTCTTATTCACATGATCCAATCTCCTGGATTTACACCTCGTTTGAATACAAACTTTAAGACAAATAAGAACAGTACATATAATTAAAGCGTTTGATAATACAACAATATAAAATAAATGAATTAGAATGGATAATCGACCATCATCTGCAAAGTCAATAATGGTGTCACGCCAGTAATAACAAAGAATATCCAATCTGTATATGGGTTTAAAAACTGGTCTCTGTAATTGGTATATGCCTGATAAAATTTGGTATCTTTAGAAGTCATTTCATTCAATGCTGTCGATAGGCCATTAAGAAAGAAACTGGCTATAGCATGAATGAAAAATGTTATCAATATTACAGAGGAACAGACCACCTCTCGGACTTTCATCTTTTTGAAATCTTCATCGACGAAAATACCAAAAATATGCTTTAAATATACGATAAATAATGTCATCGAAAGTGTGCACATGAGAAATTGCAACGAACTTTCAAACCCAAATAACATCGAAAATACAGTCTCAGAATATGCAGCTTCTCCTATCCTCTTAGTACCCTTATGGTATTTTCCACAACCATTTTTAAGTGTAAAACATCAAAATATGAATAACAAACTTGTAAAACAACCCTGTTTATTCCATAAGGACTCACTAAATAATAAGAGAGAAAAATTGGAAACAAGACCAAGCACTGAAAATCCAACATTAAACGAATTGATCCCATCAAACCACTGAGTCAGCTGTGACTCTTTGGTCTGCATAATACGAGTAATTTGGTTTTTTCTGTGATTCAGTCGCTTTTTAAAACAATTTGTAAATATCAAATAATAGAACCACACAATTAAGAAGAAATAGATAAAACAAACACAGTGGTTATTGTAAAGAAAAACGTAAATAAAAGTCCGTATGTCATCGCCATGTTACACACCTGATACCCTAAGAAAAAGTCAAATGAATCTCCTTTGTTGACATAACACAAACAAACAATCCCTTGTGTAAATCCAACGAGTAAAGTAAAATAGTTTCCGCCTCTAAAAACTGCTCTTGGCCCCAACCACGAAATGCTTTCAAAGTGTTTGTTTCTAAACAAGTTAAACACACGCAACAAATTATTAATCACAGTGAATGTTAAAAGTAGTCCAAAAAACACAACAAGAATAATCCCATCAACCAGTGCACTTGTTGCTAAGTCCATGAAAAAATATTTCAGTTCGGCTGTTAGCAAAGGGAATGCCTATTTCTTTGTAAAGTACAATTAAGTTCTTTTATTGTAATTTAACTACAAACCCGTTCAATGAAAACTTTTTAATATTAGTCAATTCTTTAGTTGTTTTTATAATTAAAATTTTATATGTTATAGTAAAAAACATAAAAGAACAAAATAACAGAATCACTCCTTTCTCCCTTTCGTGCATTTCTCCCAAATATTTTGCGCAAAGGGAAGTAGTGAGAATCCGTAGAACGAAGAAGCTGCGAGTTGTAAAATAATTGATATAATAATGACCAACAAGAATCTGAATTTGAAGACACAAAAGAGTGTGAATATCGTTGTCGCTAAACATATCAAAAACGCTATAAATCTGAGTGGAGAGGATATCAATTTATTAAACTGTTGCTTTGGTCCATACAAGAAGAACATCGAGCAGAAGATGAGTGATATAGCAATGGTATAGACAATCGCAAACACTGTTGGTGCAACAAGTACTGTTCCAAGTAGTGGAATGCATATGATGAGTAACGTCCCGCCGATGGTGAATGTTATTAAGAACCCAAATATTCGCTATGACTCATTTTTGTTTAATTAGCCAATAAACACAACAAACAGTTCGAAGTGAAAGTTCGAGACATTGACAAGGTTCTTCCACGGTGAAAGCTGCTGTTTCGTTTAACGCATCTTTATCAAGGAGGACGTCTTCGTTCACAAAATTCATCTTTTTTTCAAGTTTGACTACCTCAAATTCAGTTCCACTTGCATTTACACATCACCAAGATACTAGTAAAAATATTATAAAAGAATTATAAAAAAGAACTATACCACGTGTGACCAAAATACGACAAAAATTTATTTCTGCTGTGGGATTTGTGGAGCTGGTGTTGCGAGGATGTTCCCGATTTGCTCTTGGACTGCGCCGATCATATCTTTTCTCTCAGTGATAATTTTTAGGATTTTTTCTTTCTGTTCTTCGACAAATTTGATTTTTCTGTCGTAGAACTCCAAAGCAGCGGGAAGCTTCTTTGAGATGAAGTAATTTGCTCCGACATCAATGATAACTCTGTCGTAGGAATCAATAGTTCCATTCATATAAAGAGACTGATTCATTGGGACAAGCATTGGCTTCCCAACGACGCGGTCATTCTTCAAGTTTTTTATTATGTCTTTGTTGTCTAAGTATGTCTGTTGGACCGAATACAAATCCTCGTAGCTCTGCTGTAAATCAGACAATTCATTCTGAAGGGTCTGATGCAGTCCAGAAAGGTCACGCGCTGACAACGAAGAAAGTGGTATTGGTTTTGGTGCAGACATCCTCCCATTTTCGAGTTCAGTTGGGTTTCTTTTTCTTATTCTTAATAACACTTTAACTATACTTTATAGCTCTTTGCCCGACTTTAGAGTTATTCGAGTTATTCAATGATGGCATTTATACCATTGTTAACTCGGGAAGAAAACAATTGAATTTTAACTATTAATTTACAATATATAAACTATAAAATGTATAAGAGTTAATGAAATTCTCTGAATTTGATGTTGTAGGCGAGTTGATTCAGTTCAATGTCATCGGGAGACAAGTCTTTCTGATCAGTCACAAGACGCACACAAAACACTAAAGCACCATTTTGGTACCCATTTGGTGTTTGAACTGGAAGACCAAACCCATCATACCTGATATCTGCAGATTGGATCTCAAAGCCCAACAACACATTGTCTGTACCATTGAATACGTGTTGCTGAAAGTCTATGCTAACACCGTTGAGGTAGTCTAAAAATAACAATTGCCGATAAACATCGCCCCCGCGTCGTGTGTAAATACCATTACCGTCACATTTAACTGTAAGTTGGAGGTTGATTATTTCACTTGGTCCATCAATTTCGTAGTTCAGATCAAAGCTTTCTGGGGCACCTTTACCAATTTGTAGTTTAAGTGTATGCCCTTCAAATTGAATCATTTCATCGCAACCTTCGATATAATTATCGATTGGAACAAGTTGAGTTTGAACAACGTTACGCGTTTGTTTAATAATTGGTGAAGGTTGTGGTATATCAACTGCTTTAGGGTAAGGCGTTTTAATAAGTTTTTGATATGTTTGTTGTGAAACATTGAGTTGTGTTTGTTCCGAATGTAACTCAGGTATAAAAACAGTTTTTGGGATGTTTTTTAGAAGACTTTCAGGAATGTTAAAAGGTGTATCTTGTGTTTGTTGAAGTTCCCTTTCTTGTTTATTAAATGCCAAATTATTATCGATACTATATAATACTTGGTGAATAGCTTCTGTTTTGATCGTTTGGCTGACTTGAATTGGAATTTTCGTGAACTTGAATGGAAATGTTTGCAAAGACACAACACACTGCTTTTCCCCATAAGTCAAAATTAACTTCCTCCAGTTTTGGTCTGTGGAGAGTGTTCTCATATTACCAACAACAACCAACCCTTTTCGAGCTCGAGTGAGTGCTACGTTCATTCTTCTGTGGTCCGAGACAAACCCTATTCCAAGTCTTTCATTCGATCTCACACACGACAACACTATAATTTCCTTCTCAGAGCCTTGGAAACTGTCCACACTACTCGTTTGGATATTCCCTTGTTTTTCAATATTCTCCGATATCAGTTGAATTTGTGAGTTGTAAGTCGAGATGATACCCAGTTCTCTATCCTGAAACCCTCGGTTCTTTAATTCTCCAATAACTGCAGTGACTATACCAACCTCGTTGACATTGTAATAACTCGCTCCGTTCTCTCCAACGCTTTCTTTGCCTTCGTGGTGGATAAACACAACAGGCCAGTGTTCGACTGGGAAAAAGTGGTCGAGTCTTGGGTCGCTTCTCTGTTGCTCGGTGACACCGTCATGTAAATTCCCTTTATAAAAGTTCTTGCTTGGAAAAGAAGAAATCGCCGGGTGCATTCTGTACTGTACATTAAGTAAAGTGGTAAACACTTTGTTCTGTATGAGTCTCTCAAACATTGACAAATCAAGTCCGCCTTGTTTAGCTTTTGTAGTGACTACAGTAGGCGGCAGTTGGTTAAAGTCGCCTATCAAAACCACTTTTTTGACTTCATTGATTGCTTTAAGAGTTTCTGGTTCAAGTGCTTGTGAGGCCTCGTCACCGATGGTACACCAAAATTTGACTCCTGAAATTTGCTTTGATAAAGTCGCACAAACGACTTCGCAATCGTTCAAAATTACATCTTGGTAGTTCTTCATTATTTTTCTGATGATTTGGTCGTCATTGAAATCTGCTCCGCCACTGACTTTGTTCCATAAAGCGTCGTCTTGTGTTTGAAGAAAGTCGTTAAAGGTTTTGAAGTCTCGTTTAATCTCAGGTGTAGTGTTGTATATCAACTCCAAAGACGCCAATTTGTCTTTGTCCGAGTCTGTTAAAAATTGTTGCACTTTTCTCTCAAAGACATCCAAAAATTTTCGGACATTAATTTTATTGACATCGTCCACTTCTTGAAAAGTTTTTAACAAGAATGTGTACACTTTATACATCAATGTCTTGTGAAAGACTTTTGTCGACATATTTGTGTATTTGTTGTCCACAACGATCCTCACACACTCGATATCATTCTCAATTAGCTTTTCACAAAGCGCATTCACTGCATTATTACTTGGCCCAGAGACAAGTATCTTCTGTTGTATGTCAATACCATCGACAAAATGTTGTTTGTAGACCATCAAATTTTGAACTAAAGCTACAGCCACTGTGGATTTACCAGTCCCTGGCGGTCCCACAATCAGTGAACAATTACAGTTTAGTCCTTGTAATACAGCGTTCTTTTGTGAGTCATTCAAATCAAGTGTTCTCCCTGAAAAGTCTGTGTTGATGTCGTTTAAAGTGAAGGTGTTTGTATTTGTGAATTGCTGAATGCCCAAAATAGCCTTTTTGTAATCAGTCAACTGAGAATTGCCAAACTGAGACATGACCTTCTTCGAATTCAGAAACGAGTTCTTGGCCTTGTAACAGTACACTCGAAACACCTTCGAGTAATTCATAAATTCACTGCTTGTGTTCATCAACGACGACAAGTCTGACCCTCCAAAAAGCATTGGGTCAAGTTCCAAGACAGACGTTTTGTTGATTGTTTTAATGTGTCCGAACACAACAAAGTCTGCACGTGGGAAATACCCTTTAATGTTATGTTCAATTTCTTCCCGCGTTTCAGTTTTTATGGGCGACTTGTCTCCACCACCAACAAGTATGATCATGTCTGCTGGTCGTGCATTTATAAAGCACAACAATTGTTTAGAAATGTAAACCTTCGTTCCTGTATCATTTGGAACAAATTTGATATTCGACTTTTGAACAGTAGAATCTTCCCATCCTTTATTCTCTTCTTCAAACTCAAGTAGTTTGATGTATATCTTCGCATATATATTGGTGTTATTGTATCTATTAGTGGTGTGTACCCCAATTAAATCAAACGTTTCATCTTGAATACCTTCCTCTTTATATACCTCATCCAAACTACATACACCAGGACTGTGAGGAAATTGCATGTTAGATAAATCTATCGCACCGTCGTTAACAAGGTTGTACTGACACGCCTTTCTAAAGTCATCCGGCTTTTTCTTAAGGCATTTGATGCAATAAAAAATCGGGGTATCTGTTTCAAAGAATAAATTGAAAACATTTGTGTCCCCACACTCCGTACAAGCAAGCACAAGTCCGTTGCATTTAATCGAAAAGTGTTGACGCTTAATTATGTGGACAAGCAATTGACACTTCGAGGAGTTGCTCAACGCCCCGTTACAAATACGTTTCCCACATTGAGCGCATTCTAACACACCTTCGACAGAGTGGCAGTAACAACACGTTAAATTTGGTTGGCTCATTATCTTTTAATTAAATAGTTACCTTTATAGTTTTTTCTATTGTTATAGTTCTCAGTATACTAATAACAACATAGTAATGTATCAGTTACCTTTAATTATTGTATTAAATTATAATTTACCAACAAAACAACTATTAATATAAGTTGGCTTGAACTAGTATTTCTATACTGAAATCATTCTTTACTAAAAAAACACATCGAATCTATTTCATGGAAATTCCACTTGACGGTCCACTCTCTTTTTTAATTCCTACAAACACAAACTCCCTTCAATTGACAAAGTCTGTTCTTATGTCAATTCCAGAATTTTGCCAAGTGTTTGAAGGAAATTATGAAAAGCTCTTTTCGACAAAAACAGGCCCCGAGTTTCTATTAACAATAATACCTATCATGTGGAGGTTTTATAGAAACCCAACCATCTCAGTCGACACTAAATTCAACGTCTTTCAAAAAATCAGATTCGACTTGGTTATGAACTCCTTAAAGTTTGTGTCACTAACTTTCAATCATCATTTCGTTGCAAATTAACACAGAGAGAAATGACAAGTCTTGAGCAATTTATTATGCGCATCGGGACTTGTGTTTCTGTTGGAGAAAAAATACCGAGCCCACTCACGCGCGATGTCTTTAACACGTTTCTTGACTGGGTGAAAACAACCGACACGGAGTCAAGTCTTAACATCGACCAACTCACAGACCCCTTTTTCTTCCCACAGAAGTTCAACGTCCGACTTAAATTGATACAACTCCTCCCCACAGCAAGTCAAAAAGCACTCGAAGAAATTTTGACTAAACTTGCCATAAATTTGAATGTTCGGGTTTGGGATATCGAGATCGACGTGAACACACTTGACATTGAACAAGTCAAGGAGTTTGTCTCAATCATTGAAAATCATCGTTTGTAATTAAAGGGAAAGTATTTTATAGTATTTTTTTTTAATTGTTATAGTTGATTACATTTTAATTATATTTTTTTAACATTTAATTATTCCAAATGAGATGAGTTTTAAAGTATAATTTTTATATAATAGTACTTTAATAATACAATAAATTGCATCTACAGTATGACAAGTTTGACTTAAACGACAAGTTTGGGTTAAATGGTAAAAATTATAATTTAATTATAATAAAAATTTGAACTATAACCCGAACTAATTAATTGCTTTTTTATTATCAAGTTTATATAAAAAATTGAATAATTAAAAGCAAGCCAAAAACCCAAACACACAACATAAAGAATAAGAAAGCAATGAAAAAAGTAAAGATAATTATAAACTATCACACGATCATGATCATCACCAACATTTTAATGTGAACACAAACAATAAAGTTTTATCAAAATTTGTCAAATAAAGTATCCATAACATTTCAAATTCAATTCAATTATAAATACAGTCTAATTTCCCTAGAGTGTGTAATTATTATTTTTGTTGTTCTCCATTGAACGAGCATTTCTTAAGAACAAACCAAAAACAAGATAGACATGCTCTTTAAAGAGTGGGTCCACTTTTTATTGGCCAAAATCAAGCGGAGATTCTTAATGAATCCCACTCTTGGGAGGTTTGGCAGTTTTTCCTTGCGTTGAATTCGTTTTTATGGATATTATTATTTGGTTTAGTTAAAAGCGGTATTCTTCCATCGCGATAGGAGATACTGCTGATTTATCATATTAAAATAAATATAAAGTAACACAAACGTTTCCGAATGAGGCGGCACATGTTTTGGCGCGTTTGAACTCAACGAGACAAACACATTGAAATATACAAAACAATACTTAACATGTGTCGTGGTTTTATTTTTCAAAATCAGAGTGTAACATAAAACAATAGAATTAATAATAATTTAAATACTATTCTATTTAACCATTATATTTTTTTCTAGTTTAACTTACTGTTTACTATAATAATTGGTTTTTAAACCATTAACGTGAACCATTTAAGTCAAACTTGTCTAACTGTATTTTTAAACAAAAATTTTTATTATTCATTCTGAAAAACATTTTTTTTATTTCGCAACTCAAAAAATTAAAAAATTCAAAAAAATATTATTTTTGACTCATAATTAATTATACTTTTATTAAAAAATAATAAAAGAATTAACAATGTAATGGTGGAGTAACAAAAAATACAAAACATGGGGTAAGTTTTTAATAAAAATGTCTTTTTTTCGACAAAAAAATGGTTCATAATATGTAAAATCGTACTTATTCAAAATTAAGTTTGAATAATATCTAATAATAAATATTATAAAAGATAGTACAGACTTGAAGTTGTTCCAGTCGACCTGTAAAAAAGATGAAAATGTTGAAGAGTTGCTAAGTTAACACAAAAAAATGGCGGGGTGAGGGGCTAAACACACATCTCATCCATCATAGAGCGTAGTGACATGATTCGTTCTGTATGTGGTCCACTAGTAAAACGTTCGCACCGAATTGCACGTTCGAGTCTAAATAACATTGTCTGTAAAGACTTCTCATCCACGCTTTTTGTCGACTTTTTCGAGAGCGCTTTTGTGTTTTTAATTCTCACCTGTTTGTCGTATTGTCCATCACTCTTTATTTTGTTGTGTTTTGTTTGTTGGACGATTTGTTTAGTGCATCCCAAGTTCTCGGCGGAATAAAAGAAGTCGAGTGTATTGGACAACCTTTCGACTGCTTTTTGATAAGGCAAATTGAAATGTTTTTCGACGAGTGTTTTGAATTGTGTTGAATTTGTTTTTTCTTTTGCTTTCTAAAACTGAGAATAATTGTCTCAAATTATTATGTTCATACTTTTCTTGTTTAAATAACATTGATTACAATATTTAAATTAATATCGTTAAATAAAGAACAAAGAATAATAACAAACACAGAAATTATATAGCGTCTTCATTATTAATATGCAATACCCCACAAACACTTTTCGAGTCTTCCCATGATATGGATATTTCTTCAAATCATCAAATATACAACTGAAGTTGATTGCTTCTTGCTTCTTGGGCTGAGGTGGGGGAGTCTCGTGTTGTGAGTTAACAGCTGTTTGTACAATTAGTTGATGAGTATTCCCGGGATAACACCACGTCTCTGTCGCCCCGTTGGAGTCTCCACGAATTAAAGTTTTCTTAGAAAATGCAGAGTTGCATGTCTGAGGCTTCGTCATAAAGATAAATATTATTGTTCCAGTATTACGAGTTTAGTCGCGAGGGGTAATAATACAATCTTTTGGAATTATTTCATTCTTAATACCCCTTTATTCATTATTGGCATTTTAGTGAATCGGTAAATATATATATAATTTTCAATAACATGTTACTTTTTTGTCTTCTTTTGAACGATAAACAAAATGAATTGTCTAATTTGGTTATCGTTCGCCAATTTTGCTTCTTTTATTTTAATTCCCAAAAATTATTTGGGTTGTTTCTTTCAGAAAAATACGTTTGTTATCTTCAATTTTTGTTGAGGAAAAGCTTGATGGATTCAATGTGGTTTAAAAATTGTCATTCCATTCAGACTAAATATACTATACAACAAAATTAAATTATAGTAAAAAACTAGTTCGAAGTGGATTCAAATGGTGGTGTGAGGTATTTGTTGCTTCACAAAAAAACAAAAGCGAAAATATGTATAACTTTCAAATTTTGTTTCATCAAATGAAATATAAATAAAAATGGGGATGTCATTTATTTTGAACTTAATTGGCAGTTTCACAGCATTTCAAACTCTGACACAATATAACTTAAAAAATGGATGAATAATCAACAATTGTTTATTGATACAACACATTAATAATTGAAATGCTATTAACTTGCTGAAATCAACAAAAAAAATATATACAGCTTGAGTATTTAAAATCGTAACAAAACGGGCTTGTTAAACTCTTTTAAGAAAAAAGCTACTGTGTTTATATATAGTTTGTTTATTATACTAAAAAGAAACTATAATACAATCAATTGATTCTATTTATATTTTGGGAATACGATCTAAAAATAATAATAGAAAGTGGTTTTACAAAAACAGCACACCCTTCATTAAACATTTTTGACGTATTCGTAACTTCATTTATGATTATGTATAGATGGAATATTTAAAAATATTTTAATAAAAACTTTTTAAATAAAAAACGGCTTTTGACGAAATTCAATTAGATCAGTTTCGAAAATATGGCAAGTTCGAATCAATGAAATATTGTAAACTAAAGATATGAATACATTACACATGATTGGTTGTTATTAAATATTATTATTTGACAATTTATTGTCTTTTCGAATAATATATTGAACAACTCGATATATTTTGGATTGATTTGAACCAAAATAATATATTATCATATTTTGTGTATTTCTAACCTTAGTTGACGATTTTTCTGATTATATAAAGAGTCACTACAACTTGTCTTATTATATTAAACTGTAATTATATTTAAAAAAGACAGATTATTATCAAACCATTCTAATTGGTTGTATGCTTGTTATAATGGATAAATACCACTCAAAGTTCATGACAAATAAATGATGTGTTTTGTTTAGGAAAGATGAAAAATTTCTTTTTATGTTGTTAATAAACAAAGAATTAAATTTTGTTTATTAGTTGGTTGTATATGAAGCAACTGTATTTTGTATTTTATTTAAAATTATTAGTTCATTGAAACCACTTGAGTTGTTTAAGTATTTCTCTTTTTGTCCAAATCACAAAATGATGTGATTTGTTTAATATTTTGTACAATTCAACACATAACAACCAGCTGACGTTTTTTGAATAATTTTTAAAGTAAATTATATTGATAATTTAACTTATTGATATGTTTAATCAATAATCATTATTCGCTTGTAATACTAACAAAAGACAATATAAACACAATGACTTTTAATAAGAAACTTTTTTTGTGTAACAATAATTAATCACATTAATGTTCTTTAGATAAAAATGTTATTGTGCTGTGACTACATTAAATAAAATAATATAATGATGAATGATCAACTAAAAGATGAATGTATAACACTTCTGTTTTTTGGATAAATTTATTGTAATTTAAAGAAAGTTTAACATTAATTTTTTGTTGTATTTTTAACAAAAATAATAATGAGTGCTTTTTTGTCTCAAAAAATGTTTTTAATTAAAAAACTAGAAAAAGAAGAATAAAGTGAATGGACAAACTAAACGAAATTATGATCACAAACATCCAAGACACAAACGCAATTAGCCTTCATTGTATAGACGACTACACATCAAAAAACAGAGGCGAGTCCTTTCACCGGTGCACTTTAACAGTAAGTGGTCAGGGGAATTGTAATCGCCAGGTGACCATCGAAGAATTGATTCGGTTGTATCCAAAGCTTATTCCAGCACAAGGCGAAGACCATGACATATGGGTTGATGTCTGTGGAAATAACCAAGAAGACTTGGTGAAAATTGGAGAATTGTTTCACATTCATCCTCTTACTGTGGACGATTGGCTCTCCGATATCCCACAAAGTAAGTCAACAATATTTGAAACGTACTACGAAGTATCAGATAAAGAGTTGGTGTACCTTCCTGATACAAATGTGTTAGATACCATTTCTGTGAATATAACAATGAGAGATACATTTGTCTTGACGGTACACCCAAAGCCTTTATTTGCAATCAGAAGAGTAATGGACAAAGTGTTGTTGCATTACTCTGATGCACTTCCAAGTGCACAATGGGTGATGTATGCAATTTTAATTGATATTATCAAGGGATACAAATCAAATATGGATGCCATTGAAAACGACTTGGATTCGGTCGATAAATTGGCAGAGTTTAGCATCACAACAGACCAAAACGCACTTCTGGCAAGACTCGTCAATTTGAAGAAAAGAGCAAGCAACTTGGATTATCAAATCACACCCAAAAGAGCACTTTTAAAATATTTAATCAAAACACCAACACCAAAAATTAGTAAAATGGTCAAAATTTATTTGAGAGACGTTTTGGAAGAAGCAGCAAGCACGGTAAAAAGAGTCGATTTTGTGAATGATAAAATCGACGATTTAACAAAGACGTTTATGTCAAGAATGACATTGGACTCGTTCAGAGTTAATAGAAACCAAGAGGAATTGATGAAGAAATTTGCGATAATAACGACGTTGTTCACACCACTAATATTTGCATCAACTGCTTTCGGGATGAACGTAGTAGTCCCTGGTCAGAATTATGAAAATCTGTGGATGTTTGGAGGGTTTTATTTCTTGAGTTTTTTGTGGATGATAGCCGGGATGTTGTATTTTAAATTCACTCGATGGGTGTGACTGATTGTTATAATATATTTCTTATGTTCTATTCAGTTTAATGGTATAACTAAACTGTTATAATTATAATTATAATAATCAATGGTTGTCTGAGTGTGATTTATACTATAGTATTAATAGAACTATAATATAGAACATATTAACTATAAAATATAGTAATTGAAGATTGAAATGTAGTTATAGATGTTACAATGTAAAGTCAAACACTCTGCAATTCAATTGAATACAAAACAACTCAATTCTTTTTCGCAACAAATTTTCTGACTGGCTTTTTGACGACGTCTCTCTCGAAACTCTCCTTCTCTTTCTGAATTCTCATCTCATTCAACTTGAGTAAGAATTTGACTCTTCCTGGTCCCTCAGGTATAATGGTTTCATCAAACTTCTTCTCATCAATCTTTTTAATTTCTTCTTTCATCTCACAACGTCGTATAAACTTTGGACGAATCTCTTCTTGTTTGGCTTTAATGTCAACAGGCACTTTTGGCTCTTCATCTGATACTTCAGAGTACTCCTGTTCTTTTGGTTCCTCTTTTTCAATTTCAGTTACTTTAGATGGGACTTCCTTCGGGATGACCTCTTCAATTGTGTTTTCCTTTGGTAGAACAACTTCACTCAATTGAACGTCGACCACGTTCTTAACTTCGACTTTATCAACAATAGGCGTTACAATGGGCAACACCTTTTCTTCCACCTTAGAAACTTCTGGGACATCCAAATTGATGATTCCAGCGACTTGCTCGACCTTAAGTGGTTTTTGTTTTGCTTTGTCTGAGTTTCGTGGGCTCTTTATTTTCTGCTCGGAGTCTTTGCGGATCTCACACATGTCGCAACACTTCTGCGAATTGTTCCAACACTTTTGACAGACATAGCTCTTGCACTTCTTACAGAAGTTCTTTCTTTTTCTCTTCCCAAAAACACAAGAACATCCGGCACATAATGTGACATCTTCTGGTGGAATAACTAATTCAGCAAATGCAACACTTTCATTCTTAAACTTCGACTGAATTTCAGTGACCTCTTTCTTGAGCTCTTCAGCTTCACTTTGTGTGTCAAAAAGTATTTCACATGACTTCTCGTCAGAGTAAAACACAAGCACGTCTTCCCTTTCAGACTCAGCAACCTTCAAATGGCTGATTTTGATCACGTGGTGTATTCGGAGTTTCTCTTCTTTCTTCGTCAAGAGAATAACATCGTTAAACACCAAAAGAACACGTTTTTGAAAACCAGTGTGTGTACCCTGTTGTACACACGCTTCTAATACAAAAGTTCGATGCGGTTCGACCAACTCGAAGTTATCGAGTTTATACAGTTTCTTTGTTAACTCGACAACCCTCTTTTGCCTCCAAGTCGCAGATATCGAGCTATTCACTTTCGAGGCGACTTCTCGAACGGATTCCACCGCTTTTGTCAAATCTTGAAATTCGACGTGGTCTTGTGGGGTGTTTTTGAGGAGGTCTGTTAATAGTAAATTGTACCTTGGAAGGCGCTGTACTGGCATGATCAGGTAGTCTCTAAGATCGAGTTTCTGCGGGACAGTAATTGACTCTTGACACGTCTGAAGGAAAGCCGAGAGCTTTGAGTTGTCTTCAAGTTTGGTGAGTATAGAAAAAGCGTTGTCGTGATTAATCAGGAAGTGTTGGTAAATTGCAAAGAAGGGGCAAAACCTCAGGAATATTTTAGAGATTGAGTTCTTGAGTGTGTCGTTCTTTCGCGCTTGCACTAGCATTGACAGAAACTCTCTATTGCATTTCAAAACCTCGTCGAAAAATTTGAAAATTTCGTTCACGTCTTCGTGCTTGAATGGGGAGTTGTCTTTCATCATTGGCGAGCGATAACAACTTTCGCACACCCCAAGGGAAGTGACGTATGACAATTCCGTGGAGTATATTTCTTCAACAATTCTATCACGTTTTGGTTTTTGTTCGACTGTTTGTGGAGGCGTTTCTTTGTTTAAATTGATTGGTTTGTTATTCTCAACCAAATTAAGATGACTCTTCGACTGGATATGATTCTCAACTAAAGGTGGTGGATGGGTTTCACTCGATGCAAAGGAACGCCTTGCACCAATTTGAAACTTTTTTTTATCATTCTGTTGAGGCACTATAGTCTCCATTAACTTTCACAGTTTCCTTGGAGACTTGACTAATTCTATGTATGGTTTTCGACTTGTAAACGAGAAAAAAAAGTATAGTTTCTTAATAGTATACTGGAATCACTAACTTTTGGGAATGTATTTTAAGAACAGATATTCTGAAAGTTTCCAAAACTTCGTGCAAATTCTCGAACAAATGTGTGAAGAAATTTACAAGATCAAATTACGTCAGACTTAACTTGTGGCAAAATATGTTCGTTCAGCATTTTTGGCGTCGACGATGAAACTCTTTGTATTAATTATATATTTATTATACAAACTAGTTTTTTATATGAAATTACTAAGACTTTGATTTTTTCGAATTTCCACTGTATAACAAAACAACGAGTTTTGTCGAGTGTTTTTTATTGAAACAAAAACAACGAAAACGTCAAAGTTGTTTTTGAGTTTCTATTTATTTTAAGTTCTTTTGTATATATCGAAACTTCTCATAGAAGTTATAATCAATCAGTTAAAATTCTCGAAGATGTAGTTTGCCGCGGCGTCGACATTTTTATTACAAACGACGTACGCCTCAGTTGCCAATTTTTTTGAAGCTCCAAGTTCAATAAGCCTTTGAATATTCTCCAAGTCTTCTTTACTTAAATCAGTCTTGAGGACATTATTCTCAATTTTCTGTTCATTCTCTGGGTTGGGTGTTTTTGGCATTTTACTGTCTTGTATTTCCTTTTTGTCTTCATGCGAGTCATCATTGTCTTCACTAATAAAATCTTCCATATATTCCCCTTCCTCCATGCCATCATCATCACTATATTCAATTTCCATATTCCCACTTGTGAGTTGTTCCACTTGTTCTTGTGTCAATGCACCAGAGTTAATAAGTTGTTGGATCTCTTCGGGAGTCATTTCTTCATCCATCTGCCCCATCCCATTCTCAATTAACTGAAACACCATCTGTGGGTTCTGTCTCACTTGTTCCGCAAGCTCTGGATTTTCTTCCTCCAGTTCTTGAACAATCTCGTCGAAGTCTTCGGGATCTAAAACATTCAAATTACCATTTTCATCGAGAAAGACAGGGCCTTCGATTTCTATCTCATTGCCTTGGGGGGCGGTGGGAACTTGTTCCTCAAAAACATTAAACCCACTCAATGGATTTCCTTTTAACACTAAAATAGCCTTCTCAACATCGCCTTTCGTTTCTTTCAGTGCTTCGCGGATTTTAACTTCTTCAAACCCTCGTGACACCAAATTTTTGACATCGTCTTCGTTGGCGACAAAGGTGTCGACTTTGCCTTTTTCGTCAACTGCATTTTCGACTTTCTCAACTTTTGAGGAATTGACAATTTCAACTTTTTCTGAGGGTTTGATTTCGTCAACTTTATTTTCAACCTTTGCATCTGTGGTAGTTGCTCCTGTCTTAAGTGCTTGTTTCTTAACGATAACAACAAAGTGCGTGCCTTCTTTATATCCCAATGATTCTAGGGTTTGTGTGTTGTCGTGCATCATCTTATTCTTGTAACAAAATGCCAACAATGAAACGTCGTGGTTCTCCGCGGCCGCAAATTTTTGCTTCAGATCGAGAAGAGTTGATCCCGGCGACATGTCGAAAACGCTCTTCTTCTTTGTGATTGTCATAATTTCAACTTTCATCAAATTTAAATGATTGAAGTTCACACCCAATTATCTTTTTTTCTTGTTAATATCTTTCATTTTTGTAATTACTGTAAAAGATTTTTTATCAACACTTTAAATAACACCTTAGCCTTTAAATTTACTTTTTTGGGGGGATATTGATACTGTTTTTTGTTGTTTTTGTTTTTTTAATTGTGTATTGTATTGCACTTTATAAACTGCTAAAAACGGGAAATTTCTGTTATAAACAAAAGATTTCCCGTTATTTAAACCACTCGTTTTTTTTCAATGTTTTTTAAAATGTGAAAAACATAAATTTGTTTTTTTGGTTATGATATTAACTATTTGCCATCTTATTAAAAAAATAAAAAATAAAAAACACAAAAATCTTTAAAAATGTTTTTATATACTCCGTTGTAATATGACGGGTGAAATACTATAACATTTTTATAATGTTATAGTATTTTGATTTTATGTTATTAGGTATTTCCTCAATTTTTTTTTTATTAAAAAATATCTCTTTAACAATTCTAAAAAAATAAACATCAAAGTTAAAAAAAAATTTGAAAAACGAAAGTGTTTTTTTTCCTTCAAAGAAATTGTTTATTCGATTTAACAAATTACAGGAAAAAACTAAACTCAATGGATATGTTTCTGTCACTCGGCTTAATTCCCATAATCGTTTATAGTACATATTTAGCTATATTATTACTCATTATTAATTTGTCAAATCTGGGGCTGGAAGTAAAAAAATGCAAGTTGTCATTCTTTCATAACGAATCTGAAGAACAGTGCTGTATTTGAGGCAAGGATCTGGACTCGAAAAAGTAAATGGACAAAGACAAGAAGTTACAGCTGAAGCGCTTCGAGAGAAGCATGGACCGAATTAAAAGAAACGATTGGTCGCTGAAACATATCGACAAACCATGCACACCAAAACCACAGTACACCGGAGACATTGATATTCACAAGTTCAGCAGAGACTGTATAGTAAGAGATGTTCACTGCCATCAACCATTGAGACACTCTTTTACTTTCGACAAGACTGAACCTGTTATCCCAGCCCACACCAAACAACTTAGAAACTATGACAGACAGAGACTTTGCGATGAGATCAATCAGAAGAGAGTAGAGTAAGTCATTTTGTTATTACAAATACTATTATTAGTTTAATTGAACTAAAACCTTATATTCAAATAATTATTTAAATAGGTTGTAAGAATTCTATATTTATTCCACCATTAACAATTTTTTTAATAAATTTGATCGTACTTTTTTCTTTTTCAGTCTTTTCTCAAAAAGACTGGATAAAAACATTATTTCACAATTAACCAAATTATAATGTTATAAGAAACAAACTTTTACACTAGAATTAATTTGTTGCAAATTTTTTAGAAACCTTCTATAAATCAATTAAAATTTATTAAATATCAAAGGAGTTTAATAATTTAAAAAAAACATTTTTTTACCTCAATAAAAATAATAAAATCAAAACAAATTACCCATGCTAATTTTAAAATAAAAATAATTAAAAAATAATATTTTTTTGATGGACTTTCTTTAAAATATATTCAATTTAAATGCAAATAATCGGGAAACCCACCAAAAAATATGAGTTGAGGAGTCAATTTTTGGATAAACTACTTTGAATCTAGTGAAATTGTCGGGAATATTCCTTGTTATTTTATCGAAATTTTGTCGGAATAAACGGGGTGTTAATTTGTATAAAAATATTGTTATTTTTAGAGCAATTTATTGATAGAAGCTTTAGAATATAAATTAATGTTATTGAAATGGTAAATTAATGTAAATTAAACCATAAAGTATAGTTTGTTTGTTTCTAAGTCCCTTCAAAAAGATCATCGTTGTCGAAAAACCTTCAAAAAGTGAAAAATATTATAAGGGGAATTAGTCCTTCAAATTATTTATTTTCGTGTATATCATATAGTATATATAATTACAACAAATAATACTTAATAACAATCATAAAACCAATAACATGTATTACATATAAATAATAAAATTGTTATAAAATAAATTAACGAAATATTAACAATAACAGAAGGGCTATTTACAACAAGAAGTAAAAACAAAAAACTCCACAAATAGCCTCTAAAAAACATTCAAGTCGAATCTTTTAACTCTCTAATATCAAAACACCATTGAGACAATGAAATCACAACTCAGTCCACGCATTGCAATAGAAGAACCAGTTATTTCCTCATTTTGGGCTTTCAAACAAGGAGGGTCTGTAAAGACCACAAAAAAACGATATTTTGTTTTAAAAGCCAACAAACTGTTTTACTATGAATCTGAAAACACGTCTGTTGAGCCAAAGGGATGTATTTACCTCTCATCGACAACTGTATTAAAAGAACGAACAGACTTACATGTTGAAAAACAAAAATATTACGTATCAATCACTTCACACAATGACAAGTTTGCTCTCTTTAATAGAAATGACGTCCACATGTATTGACTATATAGAGGTTCAAGAGATTTCATCTTATTTGTTCCAGATAAGAAAACTATGATCGTTTCTATCATCGAACCAATATCAAAAATGCTCAAAAACTTCGTCACAAAGCGCCCCGAAATTCGGAATTTGACACTCTTCCACAGCAACGAAAGTTCCGGGGATCTCTCCCCCAAGTCTCCAAGAAGCGCAAACGCACCCGGCTCACCAAGAGGTGGGTGGGCTTCGAAAAGACCAAAAACAATACAAAGTTTGACCCCAAGGTTCTCATTAACTGCACGTAAGCCAGAAATGTTATCACCACGTATTGAACCAATCAAAATATCAGATAACATTTCGATGTCTTCGTGTTATCAGGATGTCCTCCAGAACTTATTAGAGCTTGGAGATGCTTTCACGTGGTTTTCGAAGGCTCAGGAGTACTTCTTCAATTGGTTTAGAACAGTATTGAAAGACACTGAACAATCGAAGAGAAGCTTTGAGTTGTATGTCCAGAGCGATATGAAAAAGATCACATTCGCCATCACGGGGAGGGTGAAAGATGTATTAAATGGGTTACTCGAGTACTGTTACGCAGAAGAACTTCCACAAAATGAAATCGAACTTATCAAGGAGTTGGGTGGAATGAGTACAACACAGACTGCAATGACTTGGATGGATGTCACCGATCAAAATGCGGTTGACTGGGGTTGGCAAATACTCGAGTGTTCCAAACTTGCGGTGCGGAATGCCAGTTTGAATAAAAAAGAGGAGCAACAAACAGTTCTAGAATGGGTCACAAAAACACGACAAAAGACGGTGGATTTGGGACGTAACACTCGCGTCTTATTCCCAGTCTCCACAATTTCTTCAAAAGTCGATAAAGACAACAGAGATGTTCTCCATGAAATTTTCGATTTGTGTGGCGAAAACTTACCAATGAAAATTGTGAATGCTTCAGTGGGTGGATGTTCTGACTGTTACGGCCGAATCACTTTAAATGAAGAAATGGCAATTGAAGCTTCTGCTGTGATGCTCAATGTTAATCAAGACTTAATGGATGCAATTTGTTCATCGTATCCAATTGGCGCACTCAATACCAAAAGAATCGAGAGTCTACAATCAAGGTTCGGTCAAATCCAAGACGTTATCTTCCAAAGTCTTGGCCATGAAACGCTTGTTGGCTCTAAAATACAAGGGCTCTATGAAGAAGGAAATACTTTGCACTTCGGATTTAGTCTTGGAAAGTATTGATTGTATTTTCTTAGTTGTTTCTCTTATTCTATTCCTATTAGACTCTATAATTATAAGCCACGTATGTTGTTCTATTTATAGATACTATATTTATACTATTAATTAACTATAATAATAAAAACAATGTTCTAAATGATCATAGAGACTCTCCTGACTATAGTCATCATCCAATCATCTGTGCCACTCTTTACAACTTCATCCACTCTTTTTCTGACTTGTTTCTCTGTGATATTACCAGACACAACGTTGATCTTTGTTCTCACTGGTTTGAAAGGATCTGTATTGTCTCTGTACTGCTCCAATTTAGTTGGATCGAACTCAAAGTCGAGAATTATGCTATTCATTATTCAATAGTTCTTAATTTATATTACATTCGATGAGTGTCATGATCATTAAATAAGTATACAAATTAGAACAAACAACATATTCTTCTCCTTGATATTGATAGGCAATTTGAGTGTCATTCTCTCGACGTTTCTAAGGAAATAAGCGCCAAACTCCGCTCTGACACATCTTGTGATCTTTTCGAAGTTGATGAAACAGTGAAAATAATTATTCAGAAATTTGATTTTGTCGTCAAACGATAATGGGGTGTCAAGCACCCATCTCGCCAGTTTGGCAGTGTCCACACACCTTCCTGGAATACCCAAATATGCGAACCTCCCACAAATCTCGACTTTACAATTTCTTAAATTCTTGTGCGACCGGATGAAGTCCTCTCCCCCATTGCCAATTGGTGAACTGTAGATAAGGTGCAGTCTCGCACCAGAGGGCAACTGGCAAATAGCGCAATATCCCAAGACTTGGACATCTCCAACTCCTTTCACCATCACCGTTCTGATCTGTTGCGATTTATCCTGGAAAGTTTCTAACTTCTTTGGTTCTTGTGGCATCAACAACTTTGCTTTCAGTTGTGCAATTTCTTGTTGCATTTTCTGTATTTCCGCCTTTTTAGCAACCAGCGTCTCTTTCAGTTTCGTGTAATACTCCACGCGGAGTTGTTTGAGTGAAGTGGTGAGGGGCACAATGTATGTCCCATGTAATTGGTTGAATTTGTTCACGTACACTCTCTTAAAGAGCTCTTGTAATGCTTCTTGTAATACCATTTTTTGGTCCGATGTGAATGTTGTGAACGGTTTCAGTAATTGTGGGAGTGGTGTAAAAATTGTGAGTAATGTATCGATCGGCGACGGTGTGCTTTTCGCCATTGAAGTGTGTGTATTTGACACGCACCCAATAATAGCATTTTGGAATGTTGTAAAGTCGCTTGCGCTCTCCAACGGTGTTAGTGGTCTTTGTTCCACGTTAACAAACTCAGTAAGTGGAAGCAAATACGACGTGAAATTGGACAAATAGTTAAGCTTCAATATGGATACAATTGAATTTTCATTTAACGTTCGAACGGCGGACCCCGGTGTTGAGTACACTGTCAAAAACCTCATTCGTTTTGTGTCTTCGGTGGGTTGAGTGTTGCGAGTGACTCTTTCCAAGTAGTTTTGTTGTCTGAGTGGTGTTGGTGAATTTAATGCACGTGACATATATTCGAGTTTTTGTAGGGTTTTAAGATCTTCTCTTTTTCAAACCGAGAAAAGTGACAATGGACAAAGACTTGAAAGATTTACTTGGCAGCATTAGTAGCGAGGACATCAACGAGATCGAAGAGGACCAAAAGTTAGTTGAGAACGGCACCTCCGTTCCACCAGAGAAAAAAAGTGACCCCGAGAAAGTTGGAAATGTCGAACCTTCACAAAAAATCGAGAAAGTCGAAAAACCGCAAAAGACGAAATTAAAGGGACTCCAGAGCGAAAGGGGTATCGTGTATTTGAGTTCGATACCGCGCGGAATTACGATGGTGATGTTAAAATCCATGATGTCTACGTATAAGCCCGTCACACGCATGTATGTTGTTGAAGGGAATACAGTTTGTTTTGATGTACTGAATCCATAGAACAAGAAGACCGAAACCCTAGTTATCTAATTTCGATGTTTTTTATTACACAAAAATGATTTAACGTCATAGAGGTTTGTTTGTAAGGAAGGGTGGTTTGAATACGCCACACACAAAGATGCAAAATTAGTGGAATATATGATGAACGGACAACAAGTTGGAGGAAATCGACATAAACCATATTCTACACAATTGTGGAACATCAAGTACATCCCGGACTTGGTATGGACTAAGATATTCGAAGACACTGAAGCTAAAGACGAAATGCGTGAACACCAAATTGATAGTTCTCTTAGAAAGGTGAAGAGGGAGAACGAGGCGTATATGAAAGGGCTGAGTCATGTATACAAAGTGAAGAAAATGAACAAGAAGAAATTGAAAGAACAACAAAAGAAAGAGGCGACAATGCCTAGAAAAGATAATTAGAGTCTAACTGATTGAAACTATTCATTTGGTTTATTATACTAAATTTTTAATTATAAGCCGTACTCTAGAGAACACACTCACTCTAACTCTATTAGCATGAATCTCGCAAGCTCCACATGATTGGTTTCACCATTAACCCCAGTGAGTTCTGTTTCTCCGAGTCCACCAAACACTTTGCTCATATTGACCGAGACGGTTTTATTAAAAAAAGGGAGTGCGATTCGAATGTAAGTTTTTGCGTCGACGTTTCCGACGTCACAAATATACTCACAACACCCATTAAATTCAGTCCCGTCATATATGTGTATACCACACTTTGCGTCTTGATTTGTGGTATATGTTTTAAAGTTTCCATTTCGAATAACAAAGGCAGTTGTGTTTGGGAGGGTGTCGACTTTGTGGTCGGTGATGGTGTCATTAAAAGTAAAGCCAAAGAATCTGTCGGGACAAAAGGCACACACAATTGCAATACGGTGTTTGTCAACCATTTTTGGGATAAAAGAAGAAGTGACACCCATTTGTTCGCAGTCGGTATCAAAAATGATTTTGTCACTTCTAAGTTCAACGTTCTGTGATAACGTAAAGAATGTTTTGACCTTGTTAAATAAGAGATCTTGAGTATAATCGACTGTATACTTCTGTGATGATAGATTGCAAAGCCATTGCTGTGAAAATGGTGAAGGTAGTGTTTCGTTTAGTTTCTCTTTGACAACTGTTTCGTTTTTAACAATCGTTGTCTCGACTTGTTGTTGAGGCAAAACAGTTGAAACACACGAATTGATTGTTTCAATTTTAGAAATTTTAGAAATTGTTTTCTTGTGCTTGTCTAACTCGATTTTTTGCTTATCACATTCGTATTGAAGTTCTTGTTTTTGTTGCTCTACCAGTCTATCTATTTCTTTTGATACAGACAGGCAGATAAGTTTCTCATTGTCTTGTATTTGAATAACAACGTCAAGTATTTCCTTAATTTGCAAGACCAATTTTTCAGTAGTTTTGAAAGACTTTTCTTTTGTGTCATACAAATTCTCAAGAAGTGTTATCTTTTCTAAAAACTCCATTGAACTCATTTCTTTGATTTTTGTGGTAAATGTTTGTAACTCGTTTCGAGCGTTTAACGATTTAAAGACTTCTTTACACTTGATACTAAGACTCTCCACTAAGTCTAAGTCTTCCTTTCTAAATGTTGTTGCCATTATTATAAAGTTTGTTATTAAAACTATTTAAAGAATTCAAGGATAGTTTGAACTAATTTAAATACTATTTTATTATAGTTTTATTATATTTTTGTCGGAGATATATCGGAAGTTATATTTTAATAACTTTTAATTACTTTATATTTATAATGATAGTTAAAGTTGATTACCTATAAAAAATTAACTTCAATGAATTTGTTAAAATTCAAGCTATAAATTATAGTTTTGTAATTAACAAAACAATTAATAGAGTTGACAAGAACAACAGACGAAGACAGTCGAATGAATGTGCCTATCGTCAAACCCTCATCTTAGCACTATCAACTTCAGACAACGCCGATGTTTATTTTTCTTTTCATTTCCTCTGCGTTTTCCGTGTGTCAAGAAGGCGATTATCAAAAAGGGAATTCCTGTGTCAAATGTTCACCAAATTGTAAGACAAAGTGTGTCGACGAGGTGGGTTGCACATCTTGTGTTGACAAATTTTATTTGAATTCAACGACTGGTGAGTGCTACTCGTGTGTAGCCAATTGTATGGAATGCACTGGTCCAAAACTTGAAGAGTGTTCTAAATGTCAAAATGGGACATTCAAAGACAACAAAAGTGGGTTTTGCACAAAAGCAGTTGGGTGTATTGATTACAGTGACAACACTGGGTGCCATTCATGTCAAGAACATTTTATCCTCAATGGGTCGTATTGTGTATACCGTTTGTTTGTTGAAATATATAGAATTAAAGTATAGTATATAATAATGTGTTCTATAGATAAAATATATTACAATATACTCAAGAAGTTTACTAAAGAATAGAATGTAATGGATGTGAAGATGGATTTTGTAGTATTAGTTACTGCAGCAAATGCACCAAGTGGATAAAAGCATCGGATGACAATGGGGACTGTTTTAATGTCTCTGGTACTAAGGTAGCACTAATCACAATAGGAATTCTGATAATAGTGGTAATTGTAGTAGCCACTGGGTGCATAGCACTAATGTATGCACTCAAGTTTAGAAAACCCAAAACGCAGATATATAAAGAGGTGGTTTAATAATCAAGTTCTGTTATTTTTCGTCTTTTTATTGGTTACTAAGTTGGAAATGTGTGTTACAATGCGACTCATGTGTTGGTGGTAAGAAATTAATACGAACTATTATATAATATAAATTTATAATAAAAATAATATTATTTAATTCTAATATAATAAATATAAATAACTATGATATTTCTATCTTGATAAAAAAAGAAATGATTTTCATTATTTCCATTTTTATTAACCAATTAAATAATAATTTAACCATTATAAATTTTTTGTTAAATGTTAATTATAAAAGATCTATTGAATTGGAACTTTAATATAGAGGTGGTGAGAACTATGACTTTTTGGAAGTCTTTTCATGTGAGTCATTTACTTTATTTTTTAATATATATTTTATAGCCAAAATAATGGGACGTAAATGCCAAACTTTTTCGGTATAGAGTTCGGAATTAGCCAAGTGGAATTTGGGTTGTTTTAACAAAGTAACTCTTTTAGTCATAAAAAAAGAGTTATTTAGACAAAAAAAGTCTTATTGATACTAAATTTCTTTAAAATAAATAATTTAAAAATGTTCAAAGTTTTTGGATGTCTTTATCGTCCCATAAAATTCGGATTATTTTAACTGCGAATTTGAGCTATGTTTTTCTTTTGTAGTTTTATAACATGGCAAATTAACAAAAAAATGTTTAAAAAACAATTAAGGAATGAGAAACAATCTTACTATGTATAACTTCCCAAAAATGATGAATAAAAGTCGAAATAAGAACTCAAAGGATTAAACACATGACTGCGCTATTCATCTCTTCACTCTTCTTACTCGCAGTTTACTCTTCTCAGGTTACTTACACAACTTGTTCAAACAATCAGAAGCTTGTGGTCAATTCCATTGAGGCTATCCCTTGGCCCCCTGAAAGTGGTGTCACTATAATCATCACTATGAACATCACAACTTCAGAAAAGGTTGAGACCTTGATGCTTGAAAATGTTTTAGAGTCGAAGTATGGTATGTTTTGGGTCGAGCTTTCCACTACCAAAAACAACTTGTGTGACACAACAATTGATTGTCCTATATTGGGAAACAAGACGTTTAAAATGGCAATGGAAATACCACCAATGACGCCAACAAATTCACAATGGAGAGCAACACTTTCGTTCAAACGTGAGGAGAATAAAATTGGTTGTGTTAGGCTTGATCCATTCGTTGTTTCGTAACTAGTTTGTTTGTACGTCTATGTTGTATCAATGATATCTTAGTAAAATAACTTCTGTGTGATAGTTTTTTTGTATCTATTTTAATTATCGTTGTGTTTGCATTTTTAATTCTCAAATTAATAATTTACATTTCATTATAAAAAGCGATATTATACTAATTTTTATTATATAAATTAATATAAAATAACACATAAAAATACTATTAACAAATCACACTTTTTTATAAACTAATGATTTCACTTTTTATATTGTTATTTATTTTGTTTTTATTATTAAGTGAATAACATTTTCAATTGTATGAATTATTACTTTGCAAAACTTGCAATTAAGTCGTTATAACGGACGTTTTATCTGTATAAAAACAAAAAAAGAAAAAGAAATACGAACATGCCGAATTGAATAAATAACATTTTTGGTATGACAAACTAAAAAATGTGAACTTCAAATTATACCAATGGGATTTCTAAAGATCCAAGTAGTGAATAAAATTGTATTATTTTGTGCTACGATGTTGATGTCATTTGGGATTACGATTATTGTAGTAGGTGTTGCGGTTGGGTTATATTTGGATAAACTCTTTGAGTTGTTCAGCATTTTGCCGTCTTACTCATTTGCGATATATCAGTATGCAGGGTCTGCTCTTTTTTTACTATCAATATCAGCGCTCATCCACGCGGTCGCAAAGTACAACAAACCCGTCTTAATCATTGTTTGTCTTCTCTTTTAACTATTATTAATAACACGTCTTTTAAAAAACAACTTTTTAAGTATTTGAATCAAAGTCGTGTTACTCCTCAAATTAGTTTATAGTAACTTCTTATAATATGTTTCATAGATAAGAACGTTGTACACACAATAACTTGAATTTTGGGTATTTGAAGGAATATCTATTTTTATTTTTCTCTATTACTATATTGTGTTGTTCTTAATTGTATCACTGTAGTTCTACAAACGAGAAGATCACAGACAGCTCTTTTTTACTTGCATCTTTGTTGGGTTCATTGAAGTGTGGAGTCTTGTGACGGCGTATCAGAACATGTTGCACACACCAAAGTGTATCGAAAATTTGTATGACACTACAACTAAAGGCATCCGCCGTGAAATCAACCTCAAATTTGCTTGTTTGTCATGTTATCGGCGATGTTTTACTACTCTCTTAATATATATCAATAACAAATAGGTTGTGGGTGGAAAACATATAACGCCAATAGCTGCTCATTCACTGCTACTGACAGAAAAGTTAGTTGTTATGATGAAATGATATACCCCATTAATGTCAATTACATCATGATGATCGTTTTGATCACCATAGCTACCCTGTTTTTGATCGTATTCACAGTCACTCTGGGCTATCAATTCTTCGCCTTCCCATTAATCCCTCCAAAAAAGAATCATGACACAAACCCACTTTTATCTCAATAATTACAATTTTTACTTGTCTTCTTTTGAGCCATTATCTTTAAAAAGATTTGTTGTGTTAATTCTAATAATTCATTTGACAAAGAAATTTTTAAAAGTCTGAAATTGATACAATCAAACACTCAATCAGATGCTAAAACACTTCTGACGTACTTTGTGTTGACAAAGTCTTTATCTAAGTCAACACTCCACATCATTACTCCACCTAGAGATTTCTCTTTGGCATACTCCACCTTCATTTTGAAAGTCTCTTTATCATCAAATGTGTAAAATTTGTTGTCAAAATAACCAAATAGAGTCTTCGACGTGTCGTCAAAGAAAATGTTGTTCTTTGGAATAATTTCGTCGATTTCATATTTCGCTAGATAGCCGTTCTCCCCCGTGCAACGCCCACATTCACTTGGCCCACTTGCTTCCTCTCCCATTTTGTGTTCGGTTGTATTGTTGTTGACAGTCCAACCTCGTGCGTAATGCGCCAATCCAAGCACAAGTTTGTGACTTGGTACTCCACTTTTCAAGTACTCTGAAACACAGTCATTAACGCTCAATCCATCTGTTGAATACAGTGCTGTGTGAGGTCCTGTGATGTTATCCCATGCTCCATGTAAATCATATGTCATCAAATTAAACCAATCGATGTATTTCGAGACAGTTTCAACGTCAATGTTTTGGATGTTTTGTATTCCCGCAGGCGCGGCTACTGTAATAAGAAGAGGTTCTTTGTTTTCCTCTTTAGAGTCGATTTCCACAAACTCTCTGAACTCCTTCACAAGGCAATTGAAGTTCAAAAAGTCGGTTGGATGTCCTCCTTGGAGTTCATTGCCTGGGTATTCCCAATCAATATCAATTCCGTCCATATTGTACTTTCTCGCAAATTGGATTGCGCTTTTTATAAATCTTTTTCGTGACACTGAAGTAGCAGCCATATCGTGAAACAAGTGTTTTGTTTTGGCGTTTGCGTTAAAATTCCACCCACCAATCGACACACACACTTTGAGATTTGGGTTGTGTGATTTCAATGAGACCAATTGTGGTATCATAACGTTGTCATTCCATTCATATTCTTTCACTTCGTAAGTGTCATCAAAAGTCACAAATGCAAAATTCAAAACGTCAAACAATTTCGCGTCAATTCTTTCTGGTGTGAATTTGCTGGGCCACCCTCCAACAGTTGCTGTTCTGTATTGCGACCAGTTAGTATAGTACCCAACCACCTTTCTTTCAGTGTATTCACTCATTTCAGTGTGTTTATTTTTCTCAGTGTGCAGCTCAAACATCCTTTTCTCCCTCTTTCTTAAAACTTCCAATCCAAAAGTTATATCACACAACATTAAAATAACAATAAATGTCACACTCTTCATGTCTGGGATTTGTGAGGTTCTCCGATTTCACTTAAATTGGAGACTTTGTTAAGTCTTGTGTTGAACCAAAAAGTCAATGCATTCACTAAATCAAAACAAAGTCATTTATTCTCTATCAAAGAATCCACCCACTTTTCCACACCATCTAACATCTCAAATTTATTGTCCTCTTCCAACAACACGTGATTCGCACCGGGGTATTCAACATACTTTGACACGGGATTATTTAAATGAGTAGCCTTAATTCTTGCTCCTTTAACATCAATAAGTGTATCCCCAGAACCGTGGAACAAGTAAAATGGAATGTCCAAGTCTCTGTCCTTTTCAACTTCGCCATAACTCTTCATCTCAAGAGAAGTCATCGCACACGCTTTGGAACATACATTAAAGGGGTCAGTGACATATTCTCTTGCAACTTCTTGGTTTGTAATAATGTTAGAAGGACTGTCCATATCTGCTGTGAGGTATGGATTGAATTTCAATATGCCTTGAATAGCCCAAGAAAACAAATTGAGACCAGTGTTCTTGATTATATACGCCGGTGCAGAAGCGATGAACCCTTTCATTTCACTCTTGCGCCCAGCAAGTACAGAAGTGAGTAAGCCGCCCATGGAGTGGCCCATAAAGAACATTGGAAGTATAATATTTTTAGACTCCATCTTAGTCTTCATCGTGTCTACAAACTGGTTTATTGTTGTTATATACGTCTCAAAAGAGTCAATATAAGTGCGTGGAGCCCCTTCTATTCCGCTCGACTGTCCATGTCCTGGTAGATCCATCATGAAGACATTGTACTTGTGATTCGCAAAATATTCTCCAACATGTTTGTATCTTCCCGAGTGTTCAGCGTACCCATGTTGTACAAATAGAGTTGCTTTTGCTCCTTCGGTGAGCCATTGTCTCGTAAAGATTGTAAAGGTGTTCAGGTGCAATTGTTCTTCACTGTAAGTCACTCCAATCATGACTTTTTTGGTTTGAAAATTAAAGATAAAAACTATTATCTATACCGTTCTTTTTTTTGGATGGAAATAATTATATTTCCATACAAAGTTATAAAAATAAAATTAGAAATGGATAATAAAAAAAACTATTTAATATATTAATTAAATATTAAGTAATAAATTAATAAAAAACCATTTTAATTATTTATATTCATATAGTTTTTTATTATAGTTTTTTTAATAATTAGAATAAATATAGAATTAGAATCAATTACAAATAAGATAGCAATCAAGAATAAAAGTAATACAGAACTTAAAGAGCAACTTTGGCGGAGAGAGAAGCAGACCGTTTGTCTTTTTTGAAGAACTCAAGAAGCCTTGGGAATCCTTTTTTCTTTGGTTCGGGCTTGGGTTCTGTCTGGCTCAAACTAAGCTTTGCAATGGTCATCTTTTTAGGTCGAGGAGATGGCATATTGAGCCGTTCACAGTTAAAATCAAAAGATCTCTTTTTATAGAACTCTTCCTTCTTTTGGAACCCCTTTGCAATAGAATCAAATAAAAAGTCGACTTTGATGTTTTCAAATGCTGAAGTCTCAAAATAAAATATGGAGCAGAGTGCTTTCATATTACTGACTAAATCGAGTCCATCCTTTCGTGTGATAACTCTTTCTTTTAGATCAATTTTGTTGGCTACTATTACAAAGGTTGGTTTCTTGTCTTCTTCAAGTGTATCTGAAACAACTGCATAACTTTGCAACATGTCTTCTTTCATTCGAGAAAATGCATACTTCTCTGTTACTGAATACACAAACACTAAAATGTCATTCTTAGTGTATTGGTCAGTCTTCAAAAGCTCCAAATCTTCTTCACTGGTCGTGTCAGTTATTTTTAAATTAACTTCATTGTCACCCACTTCGACAATTGTATTATAAACATCTTCAATAGTTGGGGTGTGTTCTATTATTTGGGCACCATGAACAAAACGACGGATTAAACTTGTTTTGCCACTTTCAGTTTGGCCAAAGAAAGCTACTGATACTGTTTTCATTGAAGGGGTTTAATCAGTTTTCTTTTTATACACACAGAAGTCATTTTAAATGTTTTTTCGAAAAGTGTCACATTTAGCTTTTCAGATATTAAAAAGAATTGTTACAATTTAACAACAAAGTTTTTTTAAAATATTCTTCCTCTTTTGATAACTTCAAAGATTTCATTTATGACCCATTTTTACTTTTGGTTTATCTTTTTAACAAATATAAGACCAATTTAACTTTGAAAGACTAAGTCCACATTGTAAACAATCACTAATTTAATAAACAACACTTAGAGATTATGAATTTTATTTGTTTGTAATTATTTTTTATACTCTTTCGAACATGTATTTGTATTATTTGAAGTTGTTAATATTTAAAAAATGTATCTTTTAAGAGGATATAAAAACACATTCAACCATTATGTTGAAGGTGTTATATTCAAACAAAACTTTAACTATAACTTATAATTTAAATATAGTAAGTATAGTTGTGATTATCATATTAAACAATTGTGTTTTTACTTGTCTTTCTATTTTAGAAACACTACAACACAAAAAAATGAAACAGAAGTAATTCCATTGTTCAGTATTTTTTACAAACTTGTTCTATCCTCCCATTTTTTAATTCCTCCCTTTTCAAAAACATATTTAACAATGAAAATAATTTAAAGTAATAATACATTTGAAAAAGATAAAAATAGTAATTGGTTTTAAACGAATAAAGAATTCGACTCAAATTTCGAGTCAAAATATAATTTATATTTGTTTGTTTTTCTTAAAATATTGGTAATAAACAATCAGAATCAAATTCAGCATAATAAATTAATTATTAAATATATTATAAAAAGGTATATCATATAATAAATAATATATTTATGAAATTATTATTATTGTTTTTGAAGTGAATGTTACAGAGCGACAACAACTTAAATGATTTTAAAATAAAATAACCCATCTCAAAGGCATGGTAATTTAAAATGCAAACAAAAACATGTAAAAATGGACAAGTATTTACAATAGAATCAATAAATCTTTCTGCAATAAGATTTCAATTTTTAGATTGTTCTTTTGCTTTATCAACAAACAACTAAACATTCCTTTTAACTTAATGGGCACTGTTAATTAAATCGAATATTCAGATTTATTTATGATTTACACTACTTATAAACAATCTGTATTGCTTTTTTAATCTAAGCATTCATCTTTTTTAGTGTAACAAGACAAATTTAGTTATGTTAAAAATCGATATACAATGGCAGTACCTTATTATGTGTCTCATTAATGGTTGTATTTATAAACCATCTAATAACCATTCGTTTAATTAATTTAACTATATAATGAGTATAAAAATAGAATACACCAATAACGAAATCAATCAATCATCTTTCTTCTCTTCTTCCATACTATGATCACTACGTAAGTCTCTGTACTCTTCGCTGTATTGTTTTTCATCTTCCTCCATACTCTTGTCATTTTTGTAATTATATTGTTGATCATCATGCTCTTCGAGTCTTTCTTCTTCCATTTCACTTGTTTCATTCTTTATTTCGACGCGATTTCGAAGTTCTTCCTCTTCTTTTTTCTTCTTGTCTTTTTCTTTTAGGTCCAGATATGTTTGTTGAAGGACCTTTGCAAGTTCGATCATCCCAATTCCCTTAAAGAAGTTGAATGCAAATATAACGTCTTCTTTGTTCTCTGTTGGAAACATTCCTCTCACATATTCCTTCACATTGGCTCCAAGAATTTTAGCAGTGAATTCCTTCATCCCCATTGTTTCGAACATGTCTTGTAACATAATTTTGAGGAAAACTCGAGAACTAGATGTCGTCTCGTCTTCAGTAATAATCACAAATCTGAAGAGATTCCATTCAATTGCATTCGAAGAGAACAAATGCGAGAACAACATCGCCAAGCTTCTAATTTGGTTCATATCCTTTTCATGAATGTTTTTATAAACCTCCTCAAATTTAATAGAGAAGGAGTCTTTAAACTTATTGAACAACACACACAACCTCTCAGCAACAAGGCCGTAATACTTTTTATACGTTTTCTCTTGTGAACAGCACTCTATCACCATCTCAACAACATACTTGTTATCGTCCTCTTTCATTTTTAAATTCAGAAGCTTGTGCACACATTCTTCAAAATTATAACACGACATGATTGTGATGTAAATCTTCTTTTTCAGAAATATCGTTTGAGCCCCTGTTTGGTCGTCAAACGTTTCCATCTCCATCTTCTGTTTGTCTCCTTCGTTGTTTGATATTTGTTGATTGTCTTCATTACACACGTCTCCATTTTCCTCTTCTTCATCCGAATCTTCCCCTATGATCTCTTTCTGTTTAAACTCCCACTTCTTCTCGTTCTCCTCAAATTCCTCATCAAATTGGAAAACATTCAAATTCTCTTCGATTTCCAGTTCAGTAGTTAATTCGACTTGATGGGTCACTTTATCTTCTTCTTCTACTAAATCCAACATTTCAACTTTCGCGGGAAAGTCCGGAAACCCTTTTCTTCGTTGTTCGAGTAATTGCGTCACTATGAATTTCATTCTTTCACTCCCAACCGATTTACTCACAAAAGTTCGTAAACTCTCATAAAAAGTTTGAACATTTCCTTTTGCTTTGTAGTCGAGGTACTCCCCACATTCAGACAATAAACTGACCATCCGCTCGACGTTGTCATCGTTCAAGTTCTTGTTGAAGTAAACAAGAAATTGCAATATAAGAAGAAGACCAACAACGTCTTGATTAGCAAGTTGTGCTAAGAATTGTAACTTCTTCAACGCACTCTCTTTTTCATTGCGTTTACAACACAATTTGAATTGATGAATCGTCCTGTGAATACACAACTTCCCAACATTTGGGATCTTTGTATTGATCACTGCAATTAGTGACGCATATAATGATGAATACTTAGGTTCGGCATCTTGCGCTCGTAATACAGACGAAACTAGAAGTCCACGCCCTCGGACTAAATTCTCTTTGAATAACTCAACTATAATCGTTTTAATGTTCTTTGGTGTGACTTTGTTGATAAGGCCGTTCAGTGTTCTTCTTAATGCAGTGAAGTACTCTCTCTGTCTTTTCTCTTCACTTTTTCTTCGGTTGACACTCTCGATTTTATCATTTTCAACTTTCTCAACTTTTTCTTCTTTTTCGACTATTTTAAATTTTGGTGAGTCTTCCGCGTTTTCGTTTTGGTTGTTCGGCGGACTTTTTTCTTCGCTTTTTATTTCGTGTTTCTCTTCTTTTTCAATCTCGTCTTGTTTTTCCTTTTGTGTGTCAAGACTCTTTATCGCATTTTCTTCATTTCTCACTTCGATATTTTCAGTCTTTATGTGACCTTCTTCTGTCTGTGACATATCAATGACTTATCTTGTTCTTTTAGTTTGTTTTAGTATATTTCTAATTTAAAATAATTAATATGAAAAGTTAATATATCAATCATTTCAGAATTTCAAAAGAAGAATGAACTACTGCCAGCGTCTGTGTCGTCAATAGTTCCTTTGAAATCGGACTTTTTCAATTTGGTCTTCGATTTCTGGAAACCCTTTCCTTTGGTCTGGTGAAGTGTACGCGCTGCGTTTGGAATAGTCTCGACATCTCCATAAGCGTCAACAGCGTATCTCGACTTGTTACGTCTATCGATGTTTTCTCCAACACCACTTAAGTCTCCAAATTTACCACCAGTCCAAGCACCTTTTCTTTGGTGGTTTTTTTTAGTTGGTTCTTTTTTCTCTTCTTGGAAAAAAGAATCAACTTCTTCATTTGGGGTTTCTTCTTCTTTCAATTTATTTGGTTGAGTCTCTTTTTTCTCTTTCTTGTCCTTTTTAGTAATCTTCTCTTCTGTAGTCTCTACTTCTTTGGTTTCTTCTTTTGAAGGTTCTTTGTCCTCTTGAGTGGATGTTACCTTTTTCTCTTTCTTCTCTTTTTTGTCTTTCTTGTCCGATTTTTTTGAGTCTTTTTCACTGTGTTTGTGATGATGATGATGTTTCTTCTCTTCTTTCTTGTCAGAATCTTCTTCTCTCTCAATTTTCG